ACAAAACATTGAAGGAAAACCTGTGGAGATCGAGTAACTCACGTAACGAGCTTGCTAAAATGGATAACAAAACGGGGAGGAGGAATGATATTTAGGAGAAAAAATATTACTTAGAGCTATGAAGGATAGGAAGATGCGGAGAGCCATGATCAACCACGCCCTGAAGGAACATGACGCATAAAAGAAGAATAGTCTACAAAACGAGTGAGTTAAATATTATTGTACAGCGAGGAGATCAAAAAGGCGAAGAGAAAACTAGAAGGAAGAGAGAGAGAGAAAGAATTAAAGTAGACAAACAGGAAAATAAGAAAGACGACAAGTAGAACAAAATAAACAGTAAATGTTGTCGGTGGCTTCAGTTGAAATAGATACGAAAAATAAAGACATAACAAAGTTCCGATTGAAATTGAGGAAAAAAGGGCTGATTACCGAGACAAATGACATAAAAGGAAGAGAAAAAGAAAACTAGAAAACGCGTAAAAAAATCGGAAGAGAAATAAAGAGTAAGAATAAACATAGTCAAGAGAAAGAAGACAGATTATTAAAGAAGTAGTTATAAAGAATATTTGCATAACATACTGAAAAGTGGGGATTAATAACAGAAAGTGTAAACGAGAGAAAAAAAGAAGAAATTATTAAAAAAGACAAGAAAAGAGAAATAAATCCAAGAGTGGAAAGATATATGAGATTTGCCACTGAAAAGTCGAAGCACCACAAAGACGACATGATAAACTTAACTATCCGTTGGAATCCGTCTCCATCCCAGCATTCCCTAGTGAGACCGGAAGTTCTTACAATCATAGTCATTATTATTGATGTTGTTATAACATCCATCTTCCTAAGGTAGTTTATTTTCTTTATTAATTTATAAATTTTTCTATTTACAAAATAAATAATTACAATTTAAGAAGGAAGATAGAGTTTGGGAAGAAAGGATAGAAAAAAGAACCTAAAATAAACTTTTTCATCTTTAGCATTATCATTTTTGCCAAAAAAAAAAGGAACAAGAAACCTGAAAATTAAAAAGAGAGAAAAAATGAAGGAAAAAGAGATAGCAGAGTAAGAAAAAAAAGAGAGGAGAGACTGAGAAAAATAAAAGAAGCAATGGAAAATGGATGAAGGTGAAAAAGACGGGGAACTAAGGAAAAAGTAAGAGAATGTGAAAATTGGCAATAAAGGATAAAATGGACAGAGAAGAATAAAAAGTGAAAAAGTATTCATTGTTAATGGAAAATAAAGTCAGAAGAAAAAACAGATAAAGAAAAGCGGAAACAAGAAATCGGCAAGAAGAAGAAGGGAAGAAACGACGCCGAACGACGATCTATTCTCCGGTGACATTTAAAAGTGGGTTTTGTTTTAAAACATTCTGATTGGATTGCCGTGTGAAGAGGAGTGTGATTCAAGTCCCAAAGTGCAAGAGGTGACGATGAAGCTTGTGTAAGCAAAGGGCAAATGGAATGGTATTGGCTTGGGAAGGGATTCTGGTCAAAGAAACCTGGTTGGTTAATTCATTTCCTTCAAGACTAATCAGTTTTCCCAAGAATCTAATGATTTGATTCCGTTACACGCTAACGTTTGACTCAAATATTGGCCTTAACTAAATCGAAATAGCTCCCAAGGGAGAAGGTTATCGCATCTTTTTGTCGTCGATTGTGAAGTGATTTTTTCATTTTTTTTTTACTTGTCTTGAATCGCGAATTCCGATAATTCTTCCGTTCTTTCAATTCATTGTTGATCTCTCCCCGAACATTTTAAATGTATTTTTTGTTTTTATTTATCTATTTATTTTCTTTTTCTGAGTTAATTCATTATTCTTGATCATGCCATAAATAAGACATTATTCTTCATCATGCCATAAGACATTAATCTTCATCATGCCATAAATAAGACATTATTCTTGATCATGCCATAAATAAGACATTAATCTTCATCATGCCATAAATAAGACATTATTCTTGATCATGCCATAAATAAGACACTAATCTTCATCATGCTATAAATAAGACATTAATCTTAATCATGTCATATATAAGACATTAATCTTCATTATGTCTTAAATAACATATTAATCTTCATCATACTGTATATAAGACATTAATCTTCATCTTGCCATAAATAATACATTAATCTTTATGATGTCATAAATAAGACATTAATGATTCCTAAGTAGAAACCTATGATTAATACCGAATTTTATCAATCTATGGCCCAACCACCCGTATCCGAAGATGCCCGTCTACTACGGTGGCTAGCTAATCCTTGTTGCAGACGCCTGTCCAGGAACGGAGCCTTGTGACTTCATGCTAGTACAACTATCGGCAACCAAAGGGTTCCATGTACCCAATTTCACTAAGATGGTTTGTGTCAAACAGTGGTATGGTTTTCAGGCACTTTCCAAAGATGTCGCACGCTAGGATCACCTCCTCCAGTCTGATAACATCAAGAAGTCACCTTCCTGGCAAATCGACCATGGTGAGATTCGAACCTGGAAATCATGGTCAGAAAGCGAAGGTTGTTTAACTGCAATTAATATCCGAGTTTAAAAAAAAAATTAATACATGATTTTTTTTTTAGAAACCTATAATTATTACCAGGTCTTTATTTTAATTTTTCTTATTAAGCCTGGATTTTACATGAGTAATTAATGAGTTAATTTACTTAAGATTTTCATTTATTTTCTTTTTCCCTCTTTTTATTTTCGTTCCTTTACAAAACTGTAGTCTACGTTGTTTTTTTCTCTTTCACGATTTATTCCCACTTTCCTTTCTCTTGTTTCTGTTCCCCCCCCTTTATTTTTTTTAAAACCTTTTTTTTTTAAATTTTCTTTCTCTTATCACATATTTTTGGCGCTCGCATTTTCCTTCTCATGTTTCATTTTATTTATTTCTTCCGTTCTCTATTTCTCCTTATTCTCCAGTTGTTTCTCTCCTGCCATTTTTATTCTTCAACTCGCATCTGCCTTTCCACTACTTCCTTTCTATACAAATTTACGATCTTTTCCAAATTTTGCCACTGCATTCTTGTCATTCTTGTTTCCTAAGTGACAATTATTTTTTAAGCATCAGAAAAAAAAAAATCAGCCATTGCAAGGCAGTTTTTAACACATGGGTTGCTTTACGCATGCGTATCTGGTTCAATGATTAAACTCGGATACAGAAAACACATTTTCAAAAGCTTTTTTTTAGCTATTGGATATGGGATGTAGAAGCGGTGTAAGCACTCTGTGAGGATCATAGAAAAACTTAAAAATCTATAAAATATTGGCTTAATATATGGTTAACCATTTGTGTTACCTCAGTATAAAAAAATCTTTATTAATCACCGCCAGCTTTATAACGATTCAATTGAAAAGGAAGATAAAAGCAATAAAGAGATGTAAAAGAACACAGAAATAGATATGTAACGAGAAACAATATGGAAAAGAATTGAAACGAGTTGGAAAAATAAAGCAAAATAAAAAAAAGAGGAAAGGAAGGAAGATGTGCAGAGCAAAAAGATAAAAAAAACAAGAAAGAAAAAAAAGAAGAATTATAAAGAAAGAAAAAGAAAAGGGAAAAAAAGAGCAAGAATGAGAAAGAAGAGAGAAAAATGAGAAAACCCAATTCGGATTATATCATCATGCTTTTCGTTTTTCTTGACATAGAAAATGAAAATTATGGTTCTAATGTGAGACCGTAACGTACCTACAACATGGACTCTTTCAGGACTATATAAAGTATGCGATATAATACTCTAGGAGAAGAGGAGGAAAGAGAGAGAGAGAGAGAGAGAATTCTAATACCGTAGTATCAGCCGCGTACGACTACCAATACTGGACACTAGCACATAGTAAGCTCCGTTTACACTTACACTATCTTTGTAACCTTTTTGTTTAATATATCTTTCTTACCTCTAATCCGTGTTCCGTGTTTTCCTTCCGTGGTCCCGACTTTGGGACCACATCAGGTTCATATTTCTTAGAAAAAACAATGTCATTCAGTATGTGACTATATTTCTGAGATGAGGTATTATGTACACTATTTACATTATTCGGACTATTGTTCTCATCTTTGTCGCCATATTACAACGTTTCGGCCGTTGTACGCTCCGGCCTTCTTCAGGTGGTTGGAATGTCGAACTGAACCCTTTATTTCGTTGACTGTCAGTTTCATGTACTTTTGCGCAATCATTAGACCCTTTTAGGAGCTGCTTATTCTTATATATATATATATATATATATATATATATATATATATTTGTTTGTTTGTTACAATCAGGAATGACTGCTAAAAATTTCCCCTGCCCAAATTTATATACAAGCCCTAAGATACGTGCTGGGATTGCTTCTTCGTCAAATGAATGATTCTTGGTTTTAAACATATATTTCTTTCTTTCTTGAAGTCAGGTTGGTATACCAACTTGACTGTATCCCTTTTGCGTATGGAAACTGTTTCTTTTTTACTGTGGTAAAATTGATTTACTTTGCCTTGTATTACATTGTCATTTCTTGTATTATTTTATTCTGTTATTTTTCTAATTGTTGTTATTGGAGATTTTGTGGATTCCACTTAAAAACGACCACTTATTCAACACACATACGCATGATCGCTGACTTTAGTTAAGTGTCGCTGAATAAACGAAATAACGGCCGATAACAGTGGACTTGAAAAACCTCTTTACTTGATTTAGTAGGCCTTATATCAGTTAATCGTTATTATCTCCTTAAAATTCTGTGCTCGTCTGTTGCGTTTACTTTCGCACAATTTGGAAAATCATGAATCCGTCTCTACAAGTTGAATAGCAGAGTGAACGGGATTCTCTATTTTTAGGTGGCAACCAGTCTAGTAGAAGGAGAACTCTGAATAAAAAGCCAGCCTCAAGAGGGATGGGCTGCGTCAGGCTATCTTGACTTAAAAACACCCACTGTTGTTAAGATTGCAGTACATGTGGTGTCCATACAACTGTCTTGGGTTACGGAAATTGTGATCGTGACATGACGATTCTATTTAAGATTTGTTTTCTTATTCCTTTCTTTCCAGCTGATTTAATTTGAATGTTTCCCACATTTTATTTGCATCTTGCACGGAAGTAGGAGTTAGATGACATGAAAATAAATGGGGCAGCAGAATGGGTAAGAAGAAGAAGGAAAAAGGAACAAATCGAAAAAATAGAAAATGGTGGAAAAGACGAGGAAAACAAAAAAAAGGAAAAAGAAAAAGAAGGTAAGAACACTCAAAAGAAGAAGATATAGAAAGAAAGAAATCATAGCGAAGAAGGAAGAAGTGATAAAGAAAAAAAAACGGGGGAAGTGATAAAGGAGAAAAGAAAGAAGAATTGATAAAAAAGAAGAATTGATAGAGGAGAAAGAAGTGATAAAGAAAGAAAGAAGTGATAAAAAAAGAAAGAAGTGATAAAGACGAAAGAAGTGATAGAGAAAAGAAGGAATAAGTGACAGAGAAGAAAGATGTGACAAAAAAGGAAGAAGTGACACAGTATAAAGTAATAAAGAAAGGAAAGATGTGATAAAGAAAAGGAAGAAGTGACAAAGTAGAAAGAAGTGATAAAGAAAGAAAGCGTGACACAGAAGAAAGAAGTGATAAAAAAGAAAGACGTGATAAAGAAAAGAAGGAAAGAGTGACGAAGAAGAAAGAAGTGATAAAGAAAAGAAGAATGAAGTGATAGAGAAAGAAGGAATAAGTCATAGAGACGAAAGAAGTGATAGAGAAAGAAGGAATAAGTCATAGAGAGGAAAGAATTGATAGAGAAAGAAGGAATAAGTCATAGAGAGGAAAGAAGTGATAGAGAAAGAAGGAATAAGTCATAGAGAGGAAAGAAGTGATAGAGAAAGAAGGAATAAGTCATAGAGACGAAAGAAGTGACAGAGAAAGAAGGAATAAGTCATAGAGACGAAAGAAGTGATAGAGAAAGAAGGAATAAGTCATAGAGACGAAAGAAGTGATAGAGAAAGAAGGAATAAGTCATAGAGACGAAAGAAGTGATAGAGAAAGAAGAGATGATAGAGAAGAAAGGACTGATAGGGACAAAAGGAAGAAAAGATAGGAAAGAAAGAAGAAAAAGAACGTAGAAATAGGTAAGGAGAACTTCATGTTCTCTTAATACACCAGTGTTATCAGTCCTTCTCTTTCGTTTTGAATGTAACCGATCTTCTAACATCAGTACGTGGGCAAACTAACTGACCACACCTAAAAAAAAAAAAATCACAAACTGACCACACACGAAGAAGATATAAAAATGTCAAGAAAATGAAAAAAAAATCGCAATTTGTCGAGATGAATCGACAAACTGTTGTAGCCACGCCGAAAAATATACGAATTCACTTCACTTGAACAATGGGATAAACAAATTGTTCCCGACTCGAGAACAGACAATACGGCGACATTTTAAGAAGAAGTTAAAGTTAACTAACAATGAAAACAATTCTTAAAGAGGCTATGAAAGGCCACACAAATGTCCGGCATTTTGAAAAATGAGTCGGTAAACTGATAGGATGAGTAGGAAGGTCAGCTGGTCAGTTAGTGGAAGGGTCAGTGAGTGAACGAGGTAGAATGAAGTATGAAGATGGTAGATCAAGGAGGCAAAAAAAGTCCAGGTATGGAAAATGTTGGACAATTAACTGACAGATGAAGAGACTTGAAGCGACAGAGATGAGTTCACTTTCCGTCTGTTACGTTTAGTTTCAAACTAATACCCATCTCTTCTCTCCATCACCAGCTATGGTAGGGTAGATTGAGCTCTGTAGCCTTGGATGGCAACCAGTCTAGGAGAAGGAGAAGTATGAATCTGAAACTGTAGAGAAACAATAGAAAACCACTCTGTTATCTTTTCTAAGGAAGAGGCCATAGCAATTTTTAGATAATCATTCACCATGGAAATAGAGACAGAGCAACAATAAGGAAATAAAGTTTTACCAGGGAAATAGGGACAGGTTAGCAATAACGAAACAAACTTTTACCATGGAAATAGAGACATGGTAGCAATAAGGGAAAAAAAAAACTTTTATCATGGAAATAGAGACATGGTAGCAATAAGGGGAAAAAAACTTTTATCATGGAAATAGAGACATGGTAGCAATAAGGGGAAAAAAACTTTTATCATGGAAATAGAGACATGGTAGCAATAAGGGAAAAAACTTTTATCATGGAAATAGAGACATGGTAGCAATAATAAGGGAAAAAACTTTTATCATGGAAATAGAGACATGGTAGCAATAAGGGGGGAAAAAACTTTATCATGGAAATAGAGACATGGTAGCAATAAGGGGGAAAAAACTTTTATCATGGAAATAGAGACATGGTAGCAATAAGGGGGAAAAAACTTTTATCATGGAAATAGAGACATGGTAGCAATAAGGGGGAAAAAACTTTTATCATGGAAATAGAGACATGGTAGCAATAAGGGGGAAAAAACTTTTATCATGGAAATAGAGACATGGTAGCAATAAGGGGGAAAAAACTTTTATCATGGAAATAGAGACATGGTAGCAATAAGGGGGAAAAAACTTTTATCATGGAAATAGAGACATGGTAGCAATAAGGGGAAAAAACTTTTATCATGGAAATAGAGACATGGTAGCAATAAGGGGAAAAAAACTTTTATCATGGAAATAGAGACCCGAGTATCAACATGTAAACAAAGTTTTACCATGGAAATAAAGACAGGGTAGCAATATGGTAAAAAAAAAAATTACCATACAAATAGAGACAACGTAGCAATAAGTTAACAAACATTTACTATGGAAAAAGATTCAGCGTATCAATAGGCTTGCAGCAATGTGCATGTTCGAAGGAAGTGCATGGTGAGAAGGAATTACTAGGTGGGAAGGAAATGCAGAGTGAGAAATATCCTCTCACAAAACCGCGTAAATAATTTTGAAATCCATCAATCCATACTTCATGGACTTTGTTACCTTTCTACAGATTTTTTAAACGAAAACTTAATTTGCAGATGCTTGCTGCCAAGATTTCATACATATTCTTATGTAACGCTGTTTGAAAAGATATGATTCATTTTAATTGAAACTTCAAATATTTTAGTATAAAGTTATTCTGTCTTGCTCTACGCCGCAACAAAATGGACACTGACGAAACACCAAGAAGCGTCACTTGACGGAACATACACAAGGATGTTACAAGTTGCATTGGACATCACCTGGAAGAAACGACTGTATAGACACCTTCCTCCTGTCTCAGTTTCGCTAAAAGAGAGGCTTCGGTTGGCTGGTCACTCTTGGTGAAGTAAGTCAGAATTTGAGAGTGAAACCTTCCTATAGAACCTGTTGTACAGCAAAAGATCATTTGGAAGACTCATAACACCTACATTGAAAGAAAAAGATACTGATAACGTATTTCCTGAAGGATCATGTCATTAAAAATAAATACGTTTTGAAAAAAAAAAAAAAACCCAAAAAACCCCAAAACTATCGTCATATGTCTAAGAATAGAGAGATCTTTTTGACTAACCTAATACGTCATGAAACAATGTCTTCTTTATGGATTAGTATTCCTAGTTTCTACCGTTACATCGACACTGAAAGCTCAAAAACCGTAGGAACTCTATGAAAGAATCGAGGAAGAATATGTAATGAGGCAAAGAGAAAAAAGGAAAGTTGGAGAAAGAGAAAAAGAACCAAAGAAAGAAATGAAGAAAAATAGAGCATAAAGAAAACAAACAGAGAGAAAGAAAGTAAAAGGAAAGAAAGAAAAATGAAAGAAAGAAAAAGTGAGGAGGAAGAGGTGAAACAAGGAGAAAAACAAGCAGAAAAGACAAAAAAAGAGAAGGAAAGGTAGTGAGTGCAATGGAGAAATAGTGATCAAAAGCGGGTAAAAGAACAGAGGGAGGAAGTATATAACGGAATAACAAAAAGAAAGACATTGAAAAGAGAAAAATACTAAAGGATAAACAACATTTTTCTTGTATGTGCCTTGTCCCTTCAGGACGTTAGCGATCATGACTCTCCACAATTTCCTGTCATTTCTAGCTCTTAATAAAGTTAACCTTTTATTTATCTCTCCCAAACCCTCATGCTCACTAGGTATGTTCTTTTCCTCTGTCCCTCTCTTCATTCTGACTTGTGAGTATCAGATTTTCCAAACCATCTTTCCTAATTATGTTCTCTAGAAATTTCAACTGTCTGTTCCTGATGTTAAGTATAAGTGTCCTTTATTTCTTAAGCTCCAAGAATGTCACAATTCGTATCTACAGAGAATCTAACTTACTCAAGTCATAATGGACGTCCAGATAAGCTTAATAACCAAAACTTCCCGGCGACACGCTCAAAGAATATATATATATATATATATATATATATATATATATATATATAGTATCTAACTGTTTACCTTCCTACGTAAAGAAGTAATAAAACTCAAAGCGGAAACGTACGTCTTTCTTTCGACACAATCTATTCCTCTGCTTTCCACAATTTTTCTTTTCGTTTTTCTCTACTTTTCTAAATCTACGTTGTCTCTTCCACACATTCTTCTTCTCTTTTCTCTCTTTCTTGTATTTATTCATTTCTACTGTCGTCTGGAAATGAATGGATAATCAGCTTATGCTATGTATGATCTGATCTTTGATTATTTGGTCAGATTTTGGAAAGTTTGTTCGTCCGAGAAATTTTCCGTTCCCCACGCATATCTATCTATCTATCTATCTATCTATCTATCTATCTATCTATCTATCTATGCGTTTTGAGAGCATATATAATAGTCATCATGAGAAGTACTGAAAAGGTATATTTCGATCCTCGGCAAAGTCAACGTATATTCTGGTCCTAGAGAACTTGGAGAGGGGAATTAACAGATAACTGACATCCATTAAAAACATAGCGCGTAGAACTAGAACAGTCTACCCCAGTGAGCGAAATAAAGGGTTCATTTCGACAATCCAACCACCTGAAGAAGGCCGGAGCGTACAAAGGCCGAAACATTGTTATAAATATGACGACAAAGATGAGGACAATAGTCCGAATAATGTAAATAGTGTATCTCAGAAATACGGACAGATACTGAAAATACTAATCCGTTTTAAAATAATTCCATCATATTTTATGGGTACTCTGCTAGTTACAGGCATCAAAACCGCTGAAGCAAGATAATCGGGCCTAGAATCAATGTTAAATTTTTCTAACAGAAGCCTCCGAAAAGTTTCAAACATTACAGAATGGACTCGGACAACGCTCTGTCTGTTAGTGTTCTCAAATATTGACAGGTTATTCTAACCTAATGGTCTCTCGTGGTTTGGACAATCTCTTGGCTTGAACAATCAGTACTGCCATTGAAAAGAAGGCGACTGTAATTAGGCGGCATTTTCCTGTCAACGACTGTATAAGTCTGAAGTGGCTAAATATTTCTTTATAAACTAATTCAATAGGCCTGGACAGATTCAAACCAATTACTCTCGACTTTTAACTTTAGAAGATGTGGAAAGCTAGAGTTTTCGTGCTGGAGAACACATAACCGTAAGGTAAGGTATCTGAGGCTATTGCAGATTTTACAAGTGGTTAACTTTTTTTTTTTGATGGTGCAGTTTGTATTTCCCACGCTCTAGTAAGTTGTAAGATACGACATATCGGATATTTTTTTGAAGAAATCTCCTATTTGAAACTTCTGGGATACATTATGGTCCTAGAAATCCTGAAGGGATATTGAACACCAAAGAACAAACTTGATAAATTAAATTA